GTTCTTGTGGAGCACATTCAAACTTACGCCAACCCAGATGAGTGATTTTTCTTATTTGTTTTTGATACAAAAATATTGAGTGATTTTGTGCATTGGCATCTTTATATTCAAGCACAAAGTATTGCAAATGCAAACTTGTATGACTTAACATCTTGCATTGCAAATAGTTGGTTGTGAACTCTTGAGCAAACCAATCTGTTAGCATTGCTTAGTTGTTGCGTTTTGTAATGTTTCATTATCTGTGCTTCCTACTCTCTTCAAAGTTACCGACACATGATTGTTAAGATATATTATAGCATATAGGTACAGCAGAGCTGTATAAAATTTCTTTTCAGCTTTTTGTCTCATTTTTCCATCCAAGCTACAAGATGTGTGGTGACAAAAGCAAATGGGCAGTTCTTCGTGGCATTAGCATGTGCAAATTTGTTGCTGCTGTCAGAATTTTTGCAGAGCCACTGATGCAGAGAGCCATTTGGTCTATCTATCTCTGTCTCAAGAATTGAAATCCGTTATCATATTTACTGCCAGGTGCTGGAGTTGGTTTATGTCTATCATGTCTCGGATGATACTCTGTCAGATCAGGTGGGTTGAGTGTTTAAGTGTTTGAGATCCGAAAGTGATAGCCAATATAATACTTTTTTTAAAAAAAATGATTTTATCTTTTGGGGCATGTTGCATAGTGAGTACGCGTAAGCATGTGCCTAGTGCCACCCTCTGATCCATTAAGTTTGATCTAAGATGATTGTGGTTGAATCTCTAATGTAAGCTGAAATTTTGACCAGATATTTCAATTGAGTGATTATATTTATTCGGTTAGTGTTGCATCTTTAGAATGTTCTATTCTATCTTATAAATCACGTGACAAGCTTTATCTGATATGTTAATCTTATGTTATTAACTTATTATTGACTGATTCATGCTTTGGTTTGAATTTTGGAAAAGATATATAAAGTTACTAAATCTGTGCCGACGGTGTTTTATTATTGTGTGCTGGCAGCATAATTGGCATTGCTAGGATATGGAAATGTGGGAAACACCAAGACTAGGGCAACAACTCATCGTTTATGGGATTATTGACTTTACAAGTGGGGCTGGTGGCTATTACTGCCAATATAATGTTAAGCACTTAGATTTTGGAGGATGCTTTCATAGGCTTAGATATTGATATGCCGAACCTTGACTATATGGCTCATATTGTGCATGTTTTTCTTCCTACTTTTTGAATAATTGCATCCGCATTTAGGTTGTGAATTTATTGCCTTGGATTGAGAAGTGAAGCCATTGTTCTTGCTACTGCTCAAACTGGTAGTGGAATCCACTACAATTTTAGGAGTGCCCTACCACTGCCATGAACAACTCTGCATGCCTGGCATGTTGGTTAGAGAAAACAAGTTACTGCTAGAAGTTGGGTTTGATTGGAACTTTGTATTTTGTGGGACACTTTCTCTGGTGATTTTGATATCTCTGATTAGATCTTTGCAGTGTGGGCAATGCTTATGCAAAAAAAAAAAAACAAATATTTGATCTTTTATTATATTAAAATATAAAGTTTAACTAGTATTTGTACTTCAAGCAATTAAATAGAGTTTCATTGAGATGGATAATAAGTGTACAAATTTTTACATTCTCAACCATTCAAAAATCATTCTCAGTATAACTTTTATCATATATAATAAGTTGTGATTACATAATAATAAATCTTATATTATATATATATATATATATATATGTGTGTGATTAGAAATACTAACAATATATTACTGGTTAACTTATGTCGATGATAAAAATATATTTAATGATGTTATTTCTTAGTCTTTTATTTATTTATATAATTAGGAGAAAATTGTGATTTACAATTCCATGCTCTTATTTAAGGTTGAACATCAATTCCTGATTAAGGAATACAAATGTTGAAACTCTTGTTTTGACAAGTTTTGGTTAACATTATTTCTTGTATTTAGAAGAATTATTCATTTATTTCAAGAATGAGTGTACTTAAACTTATTCTATTTAATAATACATATTTTACATCAAATTTTAACTGTCTAATCATTAAATTAAAAATTTATAATATGTAGATCTGTAAAATTTTAAAACATTTAAAAATTATTTGATATTTATTTTATATATTTTTATGATTATCTGTTAATTTAAATTAATAAAATTTCAAAACTTTTAGAATTTAACTATTAGAATTGTTAAAATTTAATGTAGAATATGAATTATTGAAATATATCCCTCCGTAAATAAATTCCTCTGTATATAAAGTATAAAACCCTTATATATTTATCAGGATATATTGAATGTGGTTAATCAGTGTCCTTCCTTATGTGTCACATGTCCCACTGGTTAGTAAACGCCCTTTCTTCTTTTTCATGATTGTTTTATTAATAATGGGAACTGCAGGTTTCAGGTTGTGTGCACAAAATACAACCTTTTCTTGTAAATGGAGTGATTGACGCGCAGCAAATTGAGCCGTTGTTGATGATAGATTCGCCTATAAATGCAAACAAATCAAGGTATTTCAATTTATTTTTATCATTCAAGGGTATACGTTTTCTTTATTAATGGTACATGTCCATGCTGATATGATGGCGGTAGAAAAAGAAAGTATTATGAATAGGCTGAACAATCGGTAATACCCTCTGATTAGCATATAAACTGGCTTTGTACTTTGGTCAATCCGTCAATACCTATTTTTATTGTGTGCTAGTTGTTTTTTCCGAGTTTGGTAACCTATGTGAATTTTCCTAGCCAAATTGTGTATAGGTTTTTTGGCAAGTGTTAAGTTAGAAAAATTCCCCCTCTTTACCATGCTAGAGTGGCATTTTTTGTATCAGAAAGTTACAAGGCCAAAAACTTTTTATGCAGATATCTTGTTTCTGAAAAGAAAATCAAGTTTAACTATTTTAATGATTGAGCATAGGGCACTGCTGTTGAGTGTACACCTTTGTCAGAGTTGGTGTCTTCGATAAATGTGATTAGACAAAGGCATGTAGCTAGCAACTGTTCTTAGTTCTTAAGTACTAATTTGTAATTGTTAATTAAACAAAGTGAAGCAAAGCACTCGTATCATATGTAACCAAAACTTGGGTGACATGGGCTTCGAAGCTTGATAAATAATAATACATCACCAATTTTGGGTCTCTGTAAGCACTGGACTAGTACAATGAGGCCTCTTAAAATGTTACATATGTTGGACTCACAATATATAAAAAAAAAAATTGGGACAAGGATGAATAAGGTGATTAGCTGAACATGTTCAATGATGGATGATGGACAATGATGAATGAAGAGAGTTGATGATCCGACAGTGGACTTGTGAATTGTGAGTGCAGCCATAGAAAGTCCTGCAACCATGTGAGGCTTTTCTGAGTTTCGTACGAATTATTTTGGGAGTTTGCTGACATTTGGCCATGGACCCTTCTTTGTGATCTCAATCTCCTGAGGATCTAGGATACTTCATCTGAAAAAGCTAATGCAGGACCACTCAACCAAATGGGATACTCAAGCCAGATACTGCTCAACTTTACATGTCTTTCTAATTTTGCCATCTATGCAAATTTATCACTGCTACAAACTCAGAAACTCACCAGACTGATGCAGGGAAGAAAGATAGATTATTTACTGACACCACCAGCAAATCAAAATCATACAATAGTTTCAAGAGATCAAGACATTGGGCATCATTAGAAATCAGTTTCCTATCCCCACTGCTTATTTTATATATTATATTCTTTTATTTTTATTTTGCGCCGATGATATCTTATAACCACCAATCACAGACTAATTCCTTTTCAACCGTATAAATTAATGAAGTAAATTTTGCCTCTTAGTTACAAAGTCTTCACATGCGCAATCAAAGAATCCACCCTGTGGTCATGTTTAAGAAATCTTACTATTTATTAACCGTGTTAGACTTTGTAGCTTCTAATCTTGAGGCATTAGTCTTTTTTTTATTTATATTTTTACCCTTTTTCTCTTGAACTTACTTCCAAAAACACATTTAGCTTTTAAACACTAGTTGCCTCGCAAGTTTCTCCAAATTAGTAAGGTAGATTTATCTTTTCTCTGCACTTATGTACCACGATGACGTGGACTAACCCCTGAATCAAGTAAAACATCCACTACTTCCGTGATTGACTATTTGCTATCCCATGACAAACTAACTGTTTTATCACAAATAGAGGTAATCAGGAAGAAATTATGTCGTGACCGAGAGAGAGTGAGAGGTACTTAATTAACCTCTTAAAATGGCTGGTAGGGTACAGTTTACTGGTTGCTGCATGAGACACTCTACTTTACACTTGAATTGGAAAATGACCAGTGACTTAGTGTTCATATATTATACCTTTTTAAGTTTGGTCTTGATCGTTGTATAATGTGTGTGATTTACATTTGAAAGATGGGAACATAAATTGATTTGTAAAGGGAGAGGATGGCCCCAACGACCTCTGCAAAATTCTGTCACAAGGTAACCACTCTATGGGCAAAGCTATATGTCTGTGCAGTCTGCACAGAACGGCCATCATAAAAGGCACATGCAAAAATGTACCGTGCCACCCCCTCCTTCCTTGTGTGATAATAATATAAGGACAGAAATGCAATTATAAAATTCTCCCATGCAGGGATGCAATGCAACCATATCGATGTGTTCACCCTAATTTGAATACCCCCCGACATTGGATATTTCAATTATGTACTTGTGTGACATTAATATTATTGATCAAGGTATTGTGCATCTGAATTTCCTTCATTCACGCTAGACTTGAAAACATAATTGTGACTTTGACAGGGTGACAATTATGAAGGAATGTAGTGGATCTGGTGAATCGACCTCTAATTGGGGGAAAATGAAATTGTTAATTGGAAAGAATATTGGCAGTATGGGCTGGCACATGCTGTGCTGGCTGGGGACATTTGAATTTTGATGATATGATAAAATTTTTGAAGTGATAGTAAAGACTAAAGAGGTGTTGCTGAATTGAGAGAAGACAAGGGGCTATGGCCCCGGACGGTTGTGTTGTTAAGTAACTATGTATTGTTATTGTTATTGCATCAATGAGTTGTTTCCAACAACAAAGGGTAGTTGTCCATCTAATCTCCCCTGAAAGGGAAGTGGTTGGTTGTGTGTATATATGTAGCAACTACTTTTGTAAACATGGATTTTGATTTGATGGTTGGTTGTTGCTTTCTTTCTTAACCTGGATTTACTTAACTTTTTGTGTCTTAATATTTCATTAATTTCATCTGTTAATTTATGTGTCTACGCGTGTGTATATGTATGGAATATAATTGGTGGGTTTGGGGGTCATGATGTACTTCAAAATATTTCCACATGTTAGAAAATATCTTCAAATGGATAGTGATATTGAAATTTTCATCTTTCAGAATATCCATCTAGTTGATTCACTACTGTCTCAGCTTGCACTGGATATACTTTTTTCATGTTAAAATCGTTGTTTAGAATTATGAATTTAGGTTGATGCAGATATAACTAGTAATGACTCAAAAGATATTAAATGAATTTTATGTTTTTAACATAATTAGTCACTGATTAGTAATGCTTGTAATGTATATAATTGCGCTAATTACTCTTAAAGAGAATTTTATGTTTTATCACTTTTGAGTATAATTATTTCTCTCAAAGAGTACTTGTAGTATACTAACATTCGTTGGTTCAATTGGTGTTGTACTTTGTTTTCAAATTTCAAAGTTTTAAGTTTGATAAAAAAAATAACAGCAAGAAAGATAGTCTTAATGTAATTAAGATCTCAAGAGAGGTAAAAGTAAAGTAATAAAAGTAATGATATTTCAAAATTCATAATTTTTTAAAAGAATCACGATAAATTTTTGTAAAAAATGCTCAACATTAGGATATATGAATTGAAAAAAGTGAGATAAAGAAAAAGAAAATAATTGATAGATGTAATAAATGGCATGATAAAAACAACTAGGTAAAAATGTAATATAAAAATTGAGTGTATAATAATAATAACTATTTCTCCAATTTTCACTATATAATTTACTCAACTTATACAAATTGTACTTTAAGAGTATGTTGGTTTAAGAAAATGGTTTGGTGTTGGATTATATATTTTTTTATCTAGAACATTCAAGTATGTTTAATTTCTATCTATCTTAAGGTTAACTTGTTTAAATATATGCACGTATTTATGATTAGACTTGTCTTGAATTTTTTGTATTGAGAGTCAACATTATTGTTCATTATATTCGGGATAATGGTATATCTTGGTTTAATAATTTACTTTTGTAATTTTCTCTTCAATTTTAAAAGTCTTAGATGTTTGATTAAATAGAAATAAATAGAATATTGATTATTAATAAAATTAAACAGAATATTTTTAATTTATATTTATTTATAAATTTATTCTGAATTAAAAAATAAAGTAATGTACAAGAAGTTCTCAATCTATTCAAATTGGTTAGTTTGTTAAGTTTAAATTTCTTTTTGAATTGTCAAAAATCCAACCCACTTTAAGAAATACGGCTATAATTTATTTTAACTTATTTAACAAATATGTATAACTTCTCCTTGCCAGGCTTAGAACAATATAATATATTTTCATCCCTACTAAAATACCATTTTGTTTTGGTTACACCAACAAAAGAAAATACCTTTTTCTCTTTTTCTTTTTGTTTTTGTTAAACCCGGGTTCATTGATTCTGCACAAAACTTGGGATAACACCCTATCGTATAACTTGGAAATGGTGCTTGCTCAGATCGCTGCCTCCCAATACAGAACGAGAAGACTCTAATAAACTCATAAGTGGCTCTTACATTCAAAACAAATAATGTATTTGTGACAAACAGGGACTAATTAACCAAGTAAACCAAACTTGCATGATTATACATATAAAAGTTTTGTAACAATGGTTGAAGAATTCAAAATATTTTTTCTATTACAAGTATAACATTTAATATCTTGTACTTTAATTTTTCTGTTCGCTATTTTCTTAACAATTGTCCCAAATTAACAAAGCCGTACATATAAATAACATAATTAACATACGGTTCAAGTAGAAGTATGATCATTGTCTTCAATGTCTTGCAATCTTGAATTTTCACCCTCAAAACTTACAAGATTTTACTATTTCCGTCAAATATAAGATTCACAAAATCTTGTTAACAGAAAATGATTGGACCCCTTCGGAAGCTTTCCGAAAATCTAAGAGCTATGCATAAGTTTCGAAAAAAATCTGAATGCTGCTCTGAGCTAGTTCAAATGTGGATCGACACAATTTTCTGATTTTTTTCTTTTCTTAATGTGACTCATTTTACATCACCATCACGCAGAGTTGATGATTTGCTGTCACAAGACCAATTTATGGCTGGAACGACCATTCGTAATGCGTAACATAACAACCAAAATTGGAATACCTTTGCACAGTCCCCCCCTTGAGATGATGCAATCAGTTTGGCGTTTATATGTTGAAAAATCAAAAGAAGAAAATACAGGGATTAAATATCACAGGCTGCTTAAAATGAACCGAAAATATGTTGAAATTTCAAATGTTAGTTCTTAATAAATGTGAAAGAAAATAGTTTAACTATTGAGCATGAATTGACAAAGCAATAATGATAATAACGAAAGGAGTTAAAAAAAACAAAAAAAAAAAAACATATGGAACCTAGTTCTAAAATAAAAATATATATTAAATAATAATTTCACCAACAAAATCTTCCTAACATGATAACATCAATAGAAATCAATTAACAAAGCATGAAAATCACTAAAGGTATAAAGTAGAAACTAACATGATAAATCCAAAAAATGGTACCTAGCACAAATAATAGAAAAGCTTAAATCATCAACAAAATATATTAAAATAAAGAATTGTCTATCAAGAATAACGTACTACAATTTCAACAAAAACGAAGTATGTTTTTTTTTTTTTTTTTTAAAGATAAGAAAGATTACAAAGATAGTTGCAATGAGAGTTGAACATAGGTCCTCATGTTTCTAATTACTCCAACTCCCCCCACCTAATCACTAGGCTAATCCTAGTGGTCAAAACAAAGTATCTGTATCAAAATCACGAGTTAAAAACCACTTTTTCCTCCTCTCACACAATTTCTTTTTTATTTTATTTAATTATAATATTTGTAAGAAACACTGTTACTTGTATTAATCAATGTTGATAAATTTTTTTTATAATATTTTTAACTCTATAATTGTATAACATACTTAATTCGCATTTGTGTGACAAGTCACTTTATGTTTGTTTTATAAAAATCAATAAGAAAAAAACTCTTAAGAAATTGTAACACTAAACATTTTTATTATTTATTATTGATTTTTTTAAAATTATATGTTGTGGTGATTTTTGTAACAACTAGTCATGCTCCATACAATTATAGATCAACTACTAGCAATGGAAAATTATATACAATTACCTAAGGTTAACATGTAACAATTCCTGTAAAACACAATAATAATATAAATATATGTATATGGATAAAAACCTACGTAAAATAAAGCTTCTTATGGATAAAAGTTTCAAGTTTAATCTTGTCCTACTCCCATGTATACAATAATCCAAAGCAACTGAAATGTAACCCTATCTAGCTAAATCGCCATCCAACAACATGGCTCTCCACATGTGAAACTTCTTAAGCCTAACCTTGTTCTACTTCCATGTAAATATAATCATCGTAATCCAACCACTAGAAAAAACATGCAAGGGTAAACTAGTGTTCAAAAGAATAATCATACACCAAGTGTAAAAATAAACAACTATACTACAAATAACAACATGCAAACCAAACATCATATACCTCATGGCTCACATCATATCAACACAACATAAATATCACAACATGGCATTTCACACCTTACAAGTTAGGCAAATTAACAACATATGATAATTCATATTTCACCACATCATTGTCATTCAACAATCAAACCGCACAACATATGAACAACACCAAAATCACCACATCATATGCACTACATCTCAACTACATGTGTCATGACCCATTCACTAACGAAGATCTCTTATAACCAAAGTAAACAGTTTAAGTAATTTAACTCTACCAAATCAACCGATATTTTTTATACTTGTTAGACCAACAATCAATTAGGATACTAATCTTTACAAAATGAATTCTTGGATGTTGCCTCTCAAATTAGGAAAGTCCAACACTACTATTAGGTATAACATAACTTGGATATAAGTCTATTACAATATTGACATGCATAAATCAAGTCACATGTGAATTCAATCCACTAATTACCCACATGATACTACACACTTTTTCAGTAATCAATTAAGGGTTTAACCCTTGACTTCATACCTTATTTAACATTGACTAAGCTAGTTAAAAGATTAAAAAAATGATTAATGATATAATTAGAAGACAGTAACCAATGTCCACTTAATTACAAAAAACCATCAAAAGGAAGATTAAGCTAGTTAAAAGATTAAAAAAAATAAATTTTTTAATATAAATGACCAGTAATTATAAGTAAAAATTAACATTGAGTTTACATGATGATGTTGGTAGTATAGATGCAATTATGTCTATATTTGTTTTATGATTATCATTTTAAATACTAACTTACCTTGTATATTTCCTTGTAATTTGATTGTGACAACCATATTTATATTGGAAGAGGATAGAGATAGGCCAAAGACAGATGTTGAGTTGGGATTTAGGTTACATCTTTAATTTTTGGATTACTATATATACATATTTGTGTACATGATATGTTGTAGTTTCAGTGAGAAACATTTACTCTTTTGGTTGATTTTATTCTTATACACACGTACACACACATATGTATTATTACATATATTCTCCAGTAATTGTTTGCATGTTAATCCCAAATAGTTACTTTTACGTTTTCACTACTAATAATTGAATCGTTAAGTGTAAAGGTTATGACGAATCGTTATAAAAATAACAAATAGATTTCAATAGATTATGTAGTAGATAAAAACTAACAATACATTCTTTATGAACTTCAATCAATCATATAATAAAAGAGTGCTAGTAACACATTTTATAACTCACTTTTTAACGGACTTTCTTTTATTAGTTAAAATTCATCTCGAGTTACAAAATCATGAGAAAAATTTATTAAACGAAGTGTGAAACTTATTAAATTTTATAATTTCTAATAATTCCAACTAATAAAAAAAATATACTTAAAAAATGTGTTTAAGAGAGTGTATCATCATACTCCTAAATTT